ATGGGAAACGATGAGGGAATACTAAATGTTCAGAAATAGCATTATCACCCATCTCCAGTATGAGGACTATTCCACTGTCTTACAGCAACAAGAAAACCACAGAAGTGGGCTCTGAATGTCTCCTATGTTAACATGCTTTTCAAAAACCATTATTTCACTGTAGCCTTACCCTAACCAGTCCTGTGACACAAAAAAGAAATCCTCACATTAAGCCTGATACTACCACCGCCTGAACTCTGACCCTCGCCCAGACTCTAAACCCCCAACACTCTGCACAAGTCACAGTTAATGCTTCTTTACCTGCTCTACGCCTAGCAAGGAGTCCCCTAAGGAATCTCTTCTGTCAAGTCTACTTAGTATGATCAGGCTCAGATTGGTACTTTCTTCCTTCTCTATTATGGGTCTCAAATTACTTGTCTGAAACATCAGAAACTTGGACAAAATTTTCCCTTTTTTCCTTACCCGATTCTGGGAAGGAAAGACTGCCTAAATCAGGAAAGACAACCACCCTCTATGGGACCGGACAGATGGCTTCGTAGAATAAGCGCTTGCCTGGCAAGTGCAAGGCCTTAAATTCCCGGTTCCTCCAAAAAATTTGCAAACAAAAAACCATCCTGTAAGTGTGAACTGGGAGAAGCATATCTCTTGGTCTAAGATGCGGAGCAGTATCTCAAAGCAAGGTTCTGGGCCCATGAGCAGAGTAGAGGAGATCTAGGGTCAAGAACTTGTCTGAGATGCCTTGATCTTTTTTCCTAGATAAACTTCGCGGGCCAGGGACTTTGAGCACCTGCCACGCCCTTTGCCTGCGCCTTTGTGAGACATGGACTACATTTCCCAGAGTGCAACGCAACGCTTCTCGAAGAGCACCGGTAGGCAGACTATGTCGTCATCATCCGGCGCGCTGTTTAGCCTGTACTGTTGTCGTGGCGCTTTGGGACAAGAAGTTGGCGTTCCACGGGGCCCTAACGCTGAAAACTTGGTCCGGGTGACCCCCCGACCCTTAACGAGCCGGTCCCCTCTCGCCCGCCGGTTGCTCACCCCCTTGGCAGGATGAGGCGTGCGGGCCTGGGTAAGAAGAGGGCTGAGTTTCGAAGTTTGGGGACCCTAGCACCGGTGGTGGTGGGCTTTGGGGCGGGGGCGGAGGCAAGAGGTATCTCCTGTCGCCGGCCTTTGGGCCGGAGGTGAGGGGGAATCCTTGGTGGCGGCGCAAAATGGAAACGCGTCGTTTGTCCAAGTTTGGGAGTTTCCTTAAATTTGACTAAGTTTAGATGGTAAGTTACAGTGGGAAACTAGGAGTGTGGTGTGTACAGATGCCAGCTCGGCAGTCGTGTGTGTGTGTGTGTGTGTGTGTGTGTGTGTGTGTGTGTGATTGACCATTGGAGCTGTGGTTATGGAAACTACTTCCCCTCAGCCCAGCTTTAGATTCTCATTCTTCTCTGATCATGGCTAGATCTTAAGTTTCTTTAAAAGCGAAATTGGAAGAGTGGGTGTTGCCTGCTAAGCATTAATAATGATTGTTAGGTGGTAGCAGGGAGTTATAAAGGTACATGTCCGCGTCGTTGCTAAAGGCCCTGGTGTGTAAGGTTGGGGTCAAAGATTTTCTTAGAGCGTTCCTAAGTCCACTCACTGTTGAAGCAGTTGACTAGAGTAAGGATTAATGACTTGTGTCCTTGATTTTGTGAGTTAGGAAACTGGCATTGTAAGCAGGACTAATTAGGCCCCAGACGATTTAATAGACCTTTATAATAACACACAGATGCTAGGGTAGCATTTTCTGGTTCTGAAACTATGAACAAGTGGTATATGAAGAAAGCTGCTAAATTGAATCGCAGTATATTTGATTAAATATATGAAACGTTTGAAAAAAGTTAAAATATTTACATTGTTAGTCATTGTAAAACAGAAAAACGAAAAAATGGAGTACTTCAAAAGTGTTAGGCATTTAAAATTAGTAAAAGTTGCCAGTAAATATAGACTTATATATTGACTCATACATCATGGTAGGACAACAGGATTTTTAAAAAATGTAGTGTATGAAAATTTTGATCATAGAAACAACACAGGACAGAGCAATTGAAGAGGAGAAGCTATAATTTTGAATAAGTTTAATTTCACATGAATCTTTAAGTTCTAGCTGTGTAGTCAGTTGTCACCATGTTTGTGTTCTACAAACTTCTAGTGTAGCTGAAGAGTAGGAATATATGCCAAGATAAATTGTGGTAACGATAAGGTGGTAGCTATACATTTATAGGGGCTAAGTTCTGCAAGGTGTGGAGACGTTGAGATTCTAGTAGACCTTGAATGATGGAGAGTGGGAGAAGTAAATTCCAGGTGAGAGGATGACCAGAAGGAAAAGAAGAATGTAGGACTGGAATTAGGAATGATGTGTTCAAGAAATGATGCTGATCATCTTAGTTTGATTGAAGTATGAGATATGAGAAGATCCAGCTATGGAGAACTCTGCCTGCTAGGCCATGCAGTTTGCATATTATCAGTTGGTCAGTGGTCTATTTAAAAATTGTTGTGCCACAGTGTGCCTTGTTAAATTGCAAGAGAAGGAATTGAGAAGGGAATTGTATTCTATAATTCAGGGTGATTTCCAGCCCTGAATGTATATTAGAATTATCCAGGAAGTTTTAAAAGTATTGTTCCCTGGATCCTAGCTCAGATCAACCAGTTTAGAATTTCTAGGATAGAGCTCTTTGCCTGTGGAAAGTTTCCCTGTGTTGAGGTGTAAGTGTTTATGTAGGTGTTGCTATAATTTACATTGGTGTAAACTTTTTAAAAAATACCAGTGTGAATTGATCTGAAACTTAAAATTTGGAATAACAGTGAACCTGATGGAGACTTATTTGCAGATGCTGCCACGCTTCACATGCCCTGCGAAATGATTTGGTTCAGTTACCCAAAAGAGGCAGCATTTTTCTAAACTGACAGAGGCTGAGGGTGATCCTCAGTCCTCATTAGCTTTTTTTTTTT